AAGCGTGCAATTGCTGGCTTATGCCGATGACATCGACATCATCGGTAACAAAAACCGCGAAGTCTGTTCTGCCTTTTCCAAGTTAGATAAGGAAGCAAAGCGAATGGGTCTGGTGGTAAACGAGGACAAGACGAAGTTTCTCCTGTCATAAAACAAACAGTCAGCACCCACGTCACTGCTGACAGTTATAATTTCGAGAAAGTAGAGTTCAGTTTAATGGGAACCAGCATTAACAACGATAATATGTCAGCGTGGAAATCCAACGCAGAATCACTCTTGCCAACAAGTCCTACTTTGGACTGAGTAGGCAATTCAGGAGTGAAGTCCTCTCTCGACGTACGAAAACTACACTCTGTAAGCCACTCATCATGTCTGTGCAGAAGCATGAACATTGACAACAACCGATGAGGCGGCCCTTGGAGTATTCGAAAGAGAGATTTTGCGGAAGATTTACGGGCCTTTACGCGTTGGCGATGGCGACTACCGCAGACGATGGAACGATGAGCTGTAAGAGCTTTACAACGACATGGACATAGTGCAGCGAATTAAAATACAGCGGCTCCGCTGGCTTGGTCATGTCGTTCGAATGGACACCGACGCTCCAGCTCTGAAAGTATTCAACTCGGAACCCGCTGGTGGTAGCAGAGGAAGAGGGAGGCCCGCACTGCGATGGAAAGACTAGGTGGACTTGGCTTCACTTGGCATTTCCAAATGGCGTCAATTGACACAGAAGAGAAACGACTGGCGTGATTTGTGGAACTCGGCCAAAACCGCTTAGGCGGTTCTTCTTCTTCTTTATTGGCGCTGTAACCGCCTAATCGATTAAGGCCGAGTCCAAAACAGTACGCCAGTCATTTCTCTTCTGTGCTAACTGACGCCAATTGGAAATGCCAAGTGAAGCCAAGTCCTTCTCCACCCGTTCTTTCCAACGCAGAGGAGGCCCCTTCTCTTCCTCTGTTAACATCGCCGCCCGCGTTGAATATTTTCAGAGCAGGAGCGTTTCTGTCCATTCGAACGACATGGCCAAGCCAGCGGAGCCGCTGAATTTTAATTCGCTGCACTATGTCTACATCGTTGTAAAGCTCATACAGCTCATCGTTAAATCGTCTGCGATATTCGCCATCACTAACGCGTAAAGGTCCGTAAATCTTTCTCTCGAATAGCTGCGCTTGATTGTGTTCGCTTAACAAATGAAAAAGTGGAAAAAAGCAACGATAATTTACAAGGCGAACTTAGCACAGTGCGTAGGCAACTGGCTGAGTCAGTGGGATCGTCGGTTCGAATCCTACTGAAAGAAGTCTGATGAGGAAATGTGGTAATTTCCGAAATAGCTATCACTTCTACCATTTTTTCACATTATTGTTGCTTTTCCACAATAAGTTTTTTTATTAAAAACGGCCTCAAGCTTATTAAAAATTGTTGAATATTTAGCATTAGTTTCAATAAACATTTTAAGTTGCAATAACACATATTTGATATAAAGCTTAAGCAAATACTTCAAAGATGTATGATTTTTATAAATTAAAGAAGCAACTGTAAAAGAACCCTTCCAAAAGGCCTTCTGAAGTACGTCCTCTAAAAGCCCTTCTGGAAGGCGTTCTATGGGTAGCGAAAGAAGAAGCCCTTCAATTTGTTAGCTGGCTTCCACGGTTTCAGCAACGCCACCATTCCCCCCCAATTTCCACACGCAGGAAAAAATACAATGTCCGTAAACAAGTAGAAACCCTTTGTGAGATATTCTATTTCCGCCAGACCCAAATTTTTCAGCATCAGTATGCAAATTCCATCTGGTCCAATGGCTTTCGCCCGTCCGATGGCCACCAGCAAGTGGTGCACTAGTGGGCAGTTTGTGTAGACTTCTGATCTCTCGGCATAATCTACCAAAGTATGAAGTTGTTGTTGTTGTAGTGGTATGCTGTAGTGCAGTACTGTATCTTGGAAATGTATTTCTTCCGTCTTATTATGGGCTTTAATTGTACATTTTTTGCATTAATGTGCAGCGTATAAAAAAACAAAAAAAAAATTAAGTAAAGATTTTTCTTTTTGATTTTTTTTTTGATTATAGCATTTTTTTTTTAATTTTTTTTTTTACATAAAAACATTGTCTATAATAGCCGTGTTTTATTTGTCCAGAAATTTAAGCTATTAGCTTATTTTGTATGGAGGACTTACCCAACATAATTATATTGGCTTCACGGTGGAGAGAATACAGAGGTGGCGCCGATGACGATACCGCTACTCGGCTCTCAGTGATTTTGACAGAATCAGCTGTTTTGGTGACGTCATAGTAGAGAAGAC